TATTTGAGCTCCGTTATGTGCTATTATTTTGAAGGCAAGTCAAGGGTAAATCGGAAGAAGCTGAGTCAGTTAGTGGTGGTTTGGATCAGCATGGTTAAGGAAATGATCTGTTCCTTTAGTGTGGTAAAGCTATACAGGTGATTCGTGGTTGTACGTGTGGGCTTGACAGCCACCTTCACTTGATTGATTTGCAGGTATTTGATTTTGATGGTTTTGTTATGTGTAAATGGATCCCGGAAGACTTATGGAGGTTTAGAACATGACTTGAGGCTTGCATTTTCTGCGATTATGGGAATTTGGCTGTGTGTTGCAATTGTTCTTCTGAAATGAGTTAAGTTAAAGGTTTCAAGCCGATGAAGTGTTTATTCTACTGGTGGTTCAGGAGTTTTGATGAAATTCTTGTACTCTCGCATAGCAGCATGATAGGTGCAGTGAGCGATACGGACATTGGAATTTGAGGATCAAGGTTGCGATTCAGTTTCGATAAGAATGTCACAAGCTCGGAGGAGCGAGGGAAGATTTAAGATATTAAGAGTATGCTGGCGCTATTTTTGAGCCTCCTGAAAATGGTGTTCTGTGGAAGAGGCGTTATGTGTTGAGTTATGGATTTTTAATTTGCATTAAAAAAATTGTACGGTTGGTGGCAGGGATGTGCAGACTTTGCTACCTGGTGCAGAAAGTCATGGGAGTATGAGTGTGGTGTGTTAGTCATTTAAGGGCTAGAGATTGAAATTAGGTATAGAGATTCTGGTACTGTCACTGATGTGAGAGTTTATGTCTGAGAGACGCTCTATTTCTTTAGTTGCAGATCATGGGAGTTTGTTCCAGATTGGATGGTAGATTGTATGTATCGTGAATAGGTTCATTATGGATCTTTGGAGGGTTATTAGCCCCTTGGGATGATCAACATTGTATTGAGGTTCGTTGGTAGGCCTAATGAGAATGTATAATTTATACTAGATCGGATATACGTATTTGGCATAGCATCGCTTGTGGATGGGTCTTCGGGCATGGTGGATGATATTCATGCCTTCGTTTATTTCAAGTACTACTCTTTTATGCCATATGGGTTGTGAGACGGCTTGATTATTCATGCGTGTGTTGTGATCCAACATAGCAGGTGGTATTATATGAGCGAGACAGCTCTCGAGATACTGGTTGTTTATTGCACCTTAGTTGTGCTTGGGTTTTTGTAGCCCATGACGCTATCCCTCTCCTAGGGTTGTATTTATGTACTTGCCGTGCTTCTGGTCAATATTCGGGCATTTCGTGGGTATGAGCATTATGGCTTGATGGGAATTTCCTTATTGATTGCTAACTGTGGATTGGGTAGCACGTTGCCATGGGTATGATATTCCGATCGGGTTGCGTGCCGCAACGGTTTCATATTGGGGTACAGTTCCTTTTATGTACCTTGTGTGTTATGTTTCTCATCTTCGAGAGAGGTGCATAGTATTTGGTTAGATGTCCTATTCGTTATGCGGGCTGGTTAGTTCTTCACCAGAATTTGTTTTCCATTATTAGTCATATTCGAATTGTGGCTTGTTGGCGCATTGGTGGCATCGTAGGAGATTTTAGGAGGTGTTTGAGGTGGCTTATTACCGAGCAACTCGTACTGGGTGAGACAAGGTTGTGGGACCTAGAATCAGTGTAATCGGATTTGAATGATGTATATTAGAAAGAAAATGTGACTAATCAATTCAGAATAAGGCAATTGTTCTTGGCAAGCGAAAAGGCTCCATGAGTATCGATTTGGCGAATGGTTATGAGTTTCTACACATCTCTTTTATCGTTGCAGTATCGCGAGGATTGGAACAGGACTTATATGTGTTATGAGGTATAAAACGGGCATCGGGTTCGTGACCTTGCAGAAACTGTTGTGGGAGGATGTTATTATGGGCATATGAATCATGCGGTGCAATGTGATTACAACATGGGTGGATGATCTTGTTTTGGTTAAGCATGTTGAGATTGATACGGTTTTCGTATGTTAGAATCGGTCCTTACAGAAAATTCTGGACGTAGGAATTTGATTATAAGGCTTGTGGGTTAAGGTAGCAGAAAGGATCTTCAGTCTGGCTTTAGCTAATGTGCACGGGTAGGTGCACAAGGTGTTTTTTTCCATCAAAGCCACTAGGAATTATGCCCATGGTTAGTTTTCATATATGAATACTAGACTACAATAAAGGAGGGGGCATAAACCTTACCTCCAAGACAATGTTGGATACACATTTGGTTATCCAAACATGATAACCAAATGAATCCCGAAAGCTATGTGAAGTTAGACCTATGGTGAAGGTGTTATACAGTGATTTTTGGGACACTCTAGAACAGTTCTTGGCCCGTTCGAGGATAAACGTATATTTATGTGGGGGAAAATATAACGACCCGACCGATCATTTTTAGCTATAGCGCGTCGTTCGGCGGTTTGAGGCCTTGAGTAGCTTGACTTCATGTCTTATAACCTGTATGTGTAGTCGGATTTGAATTTCGGGAAGTTCGGAGTTGATTCGGAAGTTTCCAATTTGGAGGATTTCAGTTGAAAGAGTTAACGAACGTTTGAATTTTTATTGATCGACCTTGAAATCGGGATTTGAAGGTTCCAATAAGTTCGTATGATGATTTAGGACTTGGGCGTATGTTCGGGTTGAGTATCGGATGGTCCGGGATTTTTTCGATGCTGATTGCGAAAAGTTGGCATTTTGAAGATTTTAGAATTTCCTAAGTTTGATATGAAGTGGACTTTGGTGTAATTGATGTCTGTTTTGGATTCTGCGCCTTGGAATGGTTTTATATTGTGATTTGTGATTTATACGGAATGTTTAGCGTCGCTCTGGAATGTTTAAGTGTAATTCGGATGCGTTCGGCAAAGTTTGAATGTTTGAAAGTTAAAAGAAGGATTTTGATCGTCGATTTGTGATTTTGATGTTATTTTTTGAGTTTCGAGTCTTTGAATAAGTTTGGATATGGTATTAGGACTTGTTGGTGTGATTGGACAGGGTTCCGGGGGCCTCGGGTGTGTTTCGGGGTGGTTTCATACCAAGTTTGGGTGATTTGCTGTTGTTGGTGCTGGTGTCTGGTATTGTTCTTCGCGAAAGCAAAGGTTTGCACGCGTTCGCGAAGAAGGATTTTTGGCTATTAGAAAATGTACATCGCGAACGCGACACAGGCATCGCGAACACGGAGAAATGGCTGAGGTGCCCTTCACGAACATGACAGGGAGTCACGAACGCGAAGAAGGATGGCGAGCTGGGGGCTGAAGGCGTTAATCCTTCACAAACGCGGCTCAAGGACCGTGAACGTAAACCAGTGGGACCTGGAGGCAATGCCAATGCGACCTTTGGGTCGCGAACACGAAGAAGGATTTTTGGACAACTGGTTTTTGGCCTCCACAATCGCGAGGGTATTTCCGCAATCGCGAAGAGGAAGGTCCTGGGCAGACTTGATTTTTATATGGGATTTGGCTCATTTTTCTCTCAGTTGCACTTAGTTGGGTTATTTTTGAAGCTCTTGGATGGGAGATTTTCATCATCTATTTTGAGGTATGTTCCCACTTGTTGTAAGATTAATACATGGTTTATATTTGAATTTAAACATGGAATTTTGTAGAAATTGTGTGATTTTGGAAGAAAACCTAGAGTTTGGTATTTTTGAATTTTGACCTCGAAATTGGACATGTAATTAGGAATAAATTATATATTTGAGTTCGTGGTTTTATGGATAATGTTTCTTTTCAAAAAAATTTGGAATCCGGGAACGTGTGACTGGGTTTTTACTTTGTTGCCTTTTCGATCAAAGTTGAGAATTGTTATAAGTTGTTGGATTACGAGTATTGGAATGTATTTTAATTGGTTTGCACATTATTTGACTAGTTTCAGATCGTTTGGCCTTATTCATTTGAGGAGTTTAAGTGGCGTTGGAGCCGGTTATCGCAATTAGGAGCGAGGTAAGTGTCTTGTCAAACCTTGTGTGGGGGAAATTACCCCATAGGTGATGTATTTGTTATGTGCTACTTGTTGTGGGTGTACTTACGCACGAGGTGATGAGATTCCGTACGTAGCTAAAACCATGCTTATGTCCGGGTAGACTTTAGACTATATCATGCCATATTTGTATTGCCTGAACTCAACTTGTTAGCATAAATACCCAAACGTGTAAATGTAATTTGATTAGAGATCATGCTAGGTCAAATCTTGAAACCTTGAGTTGTTTGGTGGGATATCCGACTACTGGTAATTATGCTTATTTTATGTTTCTGCTCATGTGTTGCAAATACTTGACCCGTTATTCGATAAGTTTTTTCCTTTCCTGTGGATCGGGTCGAACGCCTCGACATTATATTGAGATGCATCTATGGTTCGCGCCGATCGACCCTCGGCAGTGTACGCATTATTCTGGATCGTGCCATACGACTTCGGCATAACTCGTGCGTAATACCGCTAGAATTCTAAATATTCATGAGATTTCTCTTTGATTGGGATTTGGCAGTTACATGAGATGCCTTATTTGTTGAGATGGCGCTTGATATCCCTTACCCGTTTGAGGTAGCCTTTGATTTCTCCTATTTATTGAGATAGTACATGAGATTTGAGAAATTTATATTGTCATCAAGTTAGAGGATTATGTTAGTTACAGTTCTTACCCCATTATTATTGTTGTGTTCCACATCTGTTATTAAGTTATTATATTGATTTATTGGACCACTAGTAAGTGTCAATATCGGCCCCTCGTCACTACTTCTCCGGGGTTAGGCTAGATACTTACTGGGTACGGGTTGATTACGTACTCATGCTACACTTTTGCACTTATTGTGCATGTTTATATCTGATGGTCATTTGGGCGCAAGGGCGCAACTATTGAGAGGACTTTAAGGTGATGTCACGACCCAAATCCTAACCTGTCGTGACGGTACCCATCGTGGTACTAGGCAAGCCGACATTTCCAGAAATACTTCCAACATTTAACAGAAAATAAACTAAGAAATTTTAAATAGTCGGAGATTTCAGAAAAATGGGGTAAAACCCAAACACATGTGCAGAAAACAACTCCTAAATCAGGGTGTCATTGAGCTCATGAGTATCTATACAACCAGTCTAGGAAGAAATGTCTACGAGAGTTTGTATCAAAGTACAAATAAAGAAAAGATAAGGAAGGAGAAACAAGGACTACGAATGTCGTGCAGCTACCTCGTAAATCTCCAAAGATCAACCGTGCACAATATCAATGCCCACCATGTCCGGAAACACCTGGATCTGCACACGCAGTGCAGGGTGTAGCATGAGTACAACCAACTCAGTAAGTAACAATAATAAATAAGGAACTAAAAAAATAGATGAGTTACACAATTATAGTTTATTTTCAGTAATCTCAACAAGAAAGTAGACATGCTTTCAAATCTGGCAATTTAAGTCAAATCAGTTTATACAATCCAAGTTAAAGTAAAAAACAGATATAAAATCTCCTAAAAATTTCAAAACAGTGACATATAGGAGCTATGTGCAACAATAGTGAAAGCAAATACAGCCTCTCAGGGCAACAGTCTCTCAGTCTTTCTCAACAACTCATCACTCGGCTCTCAGCCGTCAACACTCACACTCAATAGGTACCTGCGCTCACTAGGATGTACAGACTCCGGAGGGGCTCCAACAGCCCAAGCTCTATAATCCGCAAGGACAACTCACGTGTTGTACAGACAACTCACGTGCTATAATATCATATAAGGATCCGCACGAACAACTCACGTGCTACAGTATAAATATCTGGATCTGCACGGACAACTCACGTGCTATAGTATCAATATCTCACCATCAGGCCCTCGGTCTCACTTAGTCATCAACCTTCTCTAGTCTCACGGGCTCTTAGTAATCATAGAAATCAACCCAAAACATAAATGATATAACGTATCAACAAGGAATAGCAGAGACTGAGGTAAAATGTACATGTAAGACTATGATTGAGTACAAATAGCAATTAGCAAGTAATTCAACAGGTATCACGGCCTCTGTGGGTCCCCACAATACCAACACATAGCCTAAGCATGATTTCTAACATGATTTACAGTCAAAATTTTATAACATATGGAGAGCATATAGCTAGCAACAAGTTATTAAACTTTACAGTTTCACGGAATGGACCAAGTCACAATTCCCATTGTGCACGGCACACGCCTGTCACCTAGCATGTGCATCACCTCCGAAAAAATCACATACGCATAAATCGGGGTTTCATACCCTCAGAATCAGATTTAAAATTATTACTTACCTCAACCCGAGCCAAGACTCTACTCCAAAATGCCCCTGCCTCGCAAGTCGTCATCCAAAAGTCCCGAATCTAGCCATAAGCAGTACATTACACTTAATACGGCTAAAGGAATCAATTTTACAAGAAAAATACAAAATTATAACCAAAATCCGAAATTGACTCAAACCCGGCCCCCGGGCCCAAGTCTCAAAATCTGACAAAAGTCACTAAATCCGAAAGCACATTCACTCACGAGTCTAACCATACCAAATTTATCAAAATCTGACACCAAATGGTCATTCAAATCCCCAAAATTCACTCTCCAAATCCCTTGCCTCAAACCCCCAAATTTCACCTCGAAAACACACCAATTAGGTGAAAAAACAGAGGGGAAATATAATTATTGAAGAAAAATGAACGCAAGGAGCTTACCTCAAGAATCCCTCTTGAAAATCCTCTCAAAACCTCCAAAATCCGAGCTCAAAATGATAGAAATGGTGGAAAATCTCGGAACCCTCGTATTTATAGTTTCTGCCCAAGCTTTACGCACTTGCGACAACTTAGCCGTTTCTGCGATCTCGCAGGTGCGCCTCAGAGCCCGCTTCTGCGGCCAACTCCGCACTTGCGTCGAAATTTCCGCTGCTGCGGACTCGCTTTAATCTCCTCTTCTGCGGAGTCAAGCTATAAGGCCAAATCTGCTTTTGCGGTCCTTCTGCCACATCTGCGGTCACGCAGGTGCGGGAAAACCATTGCACCTGCGACCTTATGCTTCCTCACTTCCTTGGCCGTTTTTGCGACTTACTTTCCGCTTCTGCGAGCTCGCACCTGCGGAGTGGGCAGTGGAAAACATTCAGAAAGCTTACAACTTCAAAACGTGATCCATTAATCACCCAAAATCAACCCGAGGCCCCCGGGACCTCAACCAAACATACCAACAAGTCTTAAAACATCATACGAACTTAGTCGAACCCTCAAACCACCTCAAACAACATCAAAAATACGAATTACACAGGGATTCAAGCCTAATGAACTTTGAAATTTTCAAATCCTACAAACGACGTCGAAACCCATCAAATCAAATTCGATTGACCTTAAATTTTATAGACAAGTCACAAATGACCCCATGAACCTACTCCACCTTCTAGAAACCCAATCCGACCTCGATATCAAAAGGTCCACACCCGATGAAACTTTTCAAAATTCCAACTTTTACCAATTCAAGCCCAATTCTACTACAGACCTCGAAATCACAATCCGGACATGCTCCTAAGTCCAAAATTACCCAACGGAGCTAACAGAACTATCAAAATTCAGATCCAAGGTCGTTTACACATAAATCAATATCCGGTCAACTTTTCCAACTTAAGCTTTCAATTAAGAGACTAAGTGTCTCAATTCACTCTGAAATCTCCCCGGACCCGAACCAACCAACCTGGTAAGTCATATAACAGTTGTAGAGCACAAAAGGAGCAGTAAATGGGGGAATGGGGCTACAACTCTCGAAACGACCGGCCGGGTCGTTACATATGAGCTGCATCCCATGATACGATCCGCAGCATGCGGAGTCTCCATCATGTTCGTTTATGTTATCTGTCTATTTTTTTTATATTCCAGACATATGGTGTATTATTATTGTACTTTCTAGTAGATACTCATGCATTTGTGACACCGGATTTTGGGATATTCTAGTTGATGTTAATATTTTTGCATTAAAATTGTCACTTTTTATTTTATAATCTTACGTATATTGTATGTATCCATGATTTTAAATGCACTAAATTATTTATTAAATAAAATGCATGATTTCCACAGTAATAAATTGAATAATAATTTAGATACTTCATCGTTGGCTTGCCTAACGGCGACGTTGGGCGCCATTACCGCCTCTGGTGGATTTTTGGGTCGTAACAATCTATTGGCAATGGAACAATTAGTCACAAAGAAGAAAGATTCATGTGTTGTACAAAACATGTCCAGTAACATATTAAAAAATCACTTGCAATTTAACTTAGCTATATCACAGTAAACTTCTCACAACCCCATATTTAGTCTCAAGTCATACCAATATACATATAAAAACACAAAATTAAAACTTCAGTAGCAATTTTTTCACCATACAAGTAGTTAACATTATAAGACGAACTCAACACACCCCACACTTATTCACTATGATCTACTAATGTCGCACTTACTCAGATTTCACCAGCGCACTTGTCTCACAGTCAATTATTCGAACACGTAGAGTGCACCAACTTTTGATTTGTTTTTTTAAAAAATTTAAACAATTAATACCCTCCCAAAATTATCCAGATGAAGGAGATTCTAGTTTATCATCTCTCAAACATCACCAATCAATAGACAAGACAAGCATAGCCTCAAAATTTTCCAAAATCCCCTCTTAGTTTAATGTGTAGAGTCCAACTTGATTAAACCTAGCCATGGGGAATTGGGGAGAGGGTTCTGCCGCTATCAGAGAGAGAAGAGAGGAGAGAAGAGAGAGGAGAGAGGAGAGAGCAAAGATAGATGAAAAAAAACAGAGGAAGTACTTACCTGTGCTGCTCGGAGTTGGAGGCAGTGGTGGTGCAAGGTGGAGGAATTGCGTTAGGTATGAAAGAGAAGGACCGGGAGAAGAGTTTAGAGTTTAAGTATTTGAAGTGTTACAATATAACACTTAACTGGTGCGCGCAGAAGAGTTTAGAGTTTAAGTAATTGAAGTGTTACAATATAACACTTAACTGGTGCGCGCGATCTTGGACGCGACACGTCCAATGTGATTTCCCTTGAATTTTACAGACACGGCCACTGGGGCGATGGCCTAAGTACACTGTCTCCCTTCCTTTTTGAGGCAAAATTAAATCCAACTTTATTTCCAACACCTTAAGTATCTTTCTTGTATTTCTCACTGCAAGTTTCAACCTTTATGCCAACTATTACCCCCCCCTCTCCCCCCCCCAGCAACTCTTCCACCGTTTCTTCACGTTCCCTCTTAGTTTCAAACACTAATTTTACAAAGTTAAACAAGATCAAACTCCTAAAAATTCAAACTACAGAAATAAAGAAGAAATACTAGTAAACTATGAAAGCGAAATAAATTGCTTGGGTTGCCTCCCAAGAAGCCATTGATTTAATGTCACGGTACGACGATACCCATTCTCAAGCATCCTTTAAGGCAATTGATGATTTATGACGAGCCATGTCACCAACCCAATAGTGCTTGACTCTTTGCCCATTGACTAAGAACGTCCTTGCCGAATATGGCGCACTCAACTCTATAGTCCCGTATGGTGTCACACGCACTATCTAAAAAGGTCCGAACCACCTCGACTTTAATTTCAGCCTAGAAGAGAATAGCAATACCAACTGGCCCGCCTCTGAATGACGATGTTTAATGAGCTTGTCATGACACTTTTTTGTATTTTCTTTATATAACTTAACATTCTCATATTCATTTATCATGAATTCATCTAGATCATTGAGTTGAAGCAACCTTTACTCACCCGCCAACTTCATATCCATATTTAGCTGTTTGATGGACAAAAGGCCTTGTATTCTAGCTCATTTGGAAGGTGACATGCTTTTCTATAGATCAACTTGTAAGGCGAGGTCCAATAGGTGTCTTATATGCAGTCCTATACGTCCGTAGAGCGTCATCCAACCTGACTGCCTAATCTTTCCTATTTGCACTAAGCGTGTTCTTCAAAATTTGCTTTATTTCTCTGTTCGATACCATTACTTGCCCACTCGTCTGAGGATGATATGCAATGACAACTTTATGCTTGAACCCGTATTTAGCTAGAAGAGTTTTCAAAAGTCTATTTCAAAAATACGTACCTTCATCACATATTAAAGCTCGAGGAGTCCCGAAACGTGTAAAAATGTTCTTCTTGACAAAATTAGCCACTATCTTCTCATCCTTAGTAGGTAGATCGATGTCCTCTACCCACTTAGACACGTAATCCACCGCCAAAGTGATGTATTTGTTCCCTCTAAACGATGGGAATGGTCCCATACATCGATCCCCCTAACATAAAAAATCTCCGCCTCAAGAATATTCTTGCGCGACATCTCATTCTTTCTAGTGATAGTTCCAGTTCTCAATTCAACTTACGAACATGCACGCTAAGTGTTTGATAAAATACCTAAAAGACATATATTATGAGAATTATTTCTAATGATTTAATTGAACAGAAAAGGGCCAAAAATGTCTTTGAACAATCCAAAAAGGTCTAAATATATCCTGCATCCACCTATTTTGTTAAAAATACCTCTCTGCTTACCTTTCTAGCTGATTTATGCCTTCAAACTAATTTTCTTATTCTTTTGCTTTTCTAAAATTATTTATTATGTGGCGAATTCCAATTGGACAAAATTAAACGCACCCACCCTGACCTTTTCCCTCTAATTAGACTTTCCCTAACCCAACATACCCGCCCATGACCTAAATTCCGTTAAAATAAAATCTTCTTCTTTGAACTTGAAGCTTCAAAGGAGGTTTTTTACCAAGTTCAACCAATACAAAATTATCTTGTGTCCAACCAATTAAAGAAACTTTTATAAACTTCAAATAATAAACCTCACCTATTTGAAATGGTACGAATAGATAGCTAAAATCAAACAATGCATACTAATTCTGAGAACAGAAATCATTAAGATAACTAGATCTTTTACACATAAGTACAACAAATGAGGTAATCTAATAATAAGTTTCAGTCGTCAAATAAAGGGTAGCAAACGGGTGAGTCGGGTCGAATATGGGCTGGTCAAAACTGGGTAATGCAAAATGAATAAATTATCCAACCCGATCCATGTTTAATATGGATAGAAAATGGGTTAAATAATATGTGTAACAATATTATCCTTGAATTTTTGAATATGATCATTTTTGGGAGAATTCCTAGTCTCCCAATCTTGAGGAATCCTCAATATGAGTCTTTATAAATGTAAAAGTTAAACTCATTAGTTATCCATTTTCTAAGTGGATAATATGATTCTTATCTATATTTGACCCGTTTTAAAAAGTTCATTATCCAAACCTATTTTTAATGGATATTACGGAAGGATAAATATTCTTTTATCCATTTTTCTACCACTAATCTAATGTGAGAAAATCACGAGAAATGAAGAAAACTCAGCAAGTTTTCATGCTTTTTGTTGATCAACTTACTTGAGTGTCTATTTTACATATTTGAAAATAGTTTTCCTCCAATTATTGATATATGTTACATCTAACTTATAAATAAGTATGCTGGAAAAAAAAAATCCAGACAACAAAAAATGTGAAGGGTTTTGGTTCATATGGCGAGTATGTTGGGTCGGGGCAGTAATTAGAGGAAAAAGTCTAGTTGGGGTGAACTTTAATTTCGTCCAATAGGAATTTGCCACATAATAAATAGACATAAAACAAAAACAAAAAAGATTCTGTTAGTTTGAAGGGCAAAATGAGCTAGAAAGTAAGCAGAAGGGGTAAAATAGGTGAATGAAGGGTATATTTAGACTTTTTCAAATAGTTCAGAGGTATATTTTAGCCATTTTCTGTTATTTGAACTGTAGATCAAAGTGTTTCGAGTAGTGGAACTTCATAGGAATCCTAAGGGAGGCTCGATAAAGGTATGTTTGGCTAAACTCTATCCCAAGAATTAAATTCTATGAACTCCTCCTACATCTTAAATATGGTTTGCTCCAAGTCCTACTCCATACTAAGAATTGTCTCAAGCGAATGGTTTACCTAATGCTTGTATACTCATGTGATGATTCAATTGCCATCGTTATGCTTCTCTATGGAAAATATTTCAAGTATGATTGATCTATCAAATGCTTATGAAGTTAACTCATGTTTCAAAGGCAATCTTTATGCTTTCCTTATGGAAATATTTCAATGTGTTTTCAGCTATTACATACTCGTATTTTGGTACTATGATTCTCCTATATTTTAAATTACCTTTGATGTACTATGATAAGCCATGGCAAGAGAATCAAAATGAAATATGGCCATGTTGCCAAATTAAAGTGATGACGTATGACTCAAGGGTCGATGAAAAGAAAAGGTTTTATGAATTGCTTTAAATGAAATATTTTTGGGAGTATTGTTATGTGATTGAGAAGGTGTAGGTTAAAAGGCCTATACCCTAAACAACACGTGCCGATATAGGAGTCGATTGAGATAAGTCCTTTTCGCACCATTATGAGATTACGCCCTAATATTGGGATGATGTATTGTATTGCTAGAATAGACACGTTGATTCACATGGCCTTGTGGTGAGATGGCTTAGCCAATCGGGCCGAAATTGGACGCCATATCGCGCACATGGTGATTATATGATATTATGTCGATAAATAATGATAATCCAATAAAAATGCTAATGTTTATTTGGAGATTTGCTAATTTTTTAACTTGGAATTTTAAATACTATTGATTTTCTTACTACTTCCTTGTTTATCTCTCCGTATGTTGGCATTTTATTCCGTGTGGGGGTACTTAGCTTCACATACTAGTACTATTCGGTATGTACTAACGTCCCGTTTGCCGGGGACGCTGCATCTTTCAGAGATGTAGGTGGCCCCTCAACAGACGACATAGGAGCATACCCTCTATTCAAGTGATTTTGGTAAGCCCTACTCCACCCAAGGGCCATTATGTTGTATTAGTCTTTGTACATTATTTTTAAGATACAGCCGGGGCCTTGTCACCAATACTTCAATATTTTCTCATATCAGTTTACATGCTCTGTAAAATATTTTTTGGGTCATGTATGTATGGGGTAACTATAACTATCGTTTTGGCCGTTTTGCTTCCACTTAAAGGTTATTGACTTGTATTATTTTGCGAATTAACAATGAAACTCTTATATTAACGAAAATCAGTGTCGTACATCTATATCCTCTCGATTGAATATCTCATGTTATTTATTCTTAAGCCATTCATGGATAAGGGTATATTGTATGAACCAAGTATTCTTGCTTTACTGGGTCACCTCGGTCGAGTGACGTTCCCTCTCCCCTAGTTCGGGACGTGACAAGCTTGGTATCAGAGCCTAAGGTTTTAATGTGTCCTATGATATCTCGAAGTTATGCCTAGTAAAGTCCTTCTTATCGCTGTAAAGTCTACCACATCTATAATTAGGAGGCTATTTGGGCATTTGGGAATGCCACCCTTCTTCGATATTCTTGATCATGCAATAGATATTGATAATAAGTCTATCCTCTTAACTCGCTCGTTGTGCTAATTTTAAGTATATGACACCTAGGAAGAAGGCAAAGAATATCCAAAGGGGAAATACCACCCCATGAGTGGCAGTTGATGAAGGAACTGGTGTACACATGATATGAATTGTGGGAAGAGTCCTGAGAAGAGGGTTACCCTCTGACAAAATGTAACGAGTTTGCGGATGCCTTTATTGATCATTTCTTTTCCTTTGAGACCGGGGCGGCCCGTAGTGCTGAGTTCGAGAATTTGAAGCAAGAGAATATGAGTGTGTTGGATTACCACCTGAAGGTTGTGAATCTTTCAAAGTATTCTCTCTACATGTTACCCACTATGGAGGCTAGGGTTTGCCAATTTATGCAAGTTCTTAGCCCTTTGGTTATCAATGAGGACACTATAGCTGACTTGAACTCTAATATGAGTTATAGTAAGATGGTGGAGTTTGCTCAAGCCATAGAGACCCCCAAAGCTTAAAAGTATGATGGAATGAGATAGTAACAAGAAGGCTCGGTCTGCTGGCAACTTTGGTTGTTCATTCAGTGGTGGTAGTGGTGGAAAGGCAATGTTCAGGAGAGGGTCATCAGTGCCGTCATAGTCAGTTGTTCAATTTTTCAGCTAGTGCACCTCCATCATGGCCCAGTCAGCAGCAATATAGTCATTTTAGTCCTATCCAGGATAGTTAGGTGGGTA